ACAGGTCCCGCATGCCACAGCCGCTCTATCACGTGATGCATACTGCTCCGACGTGCTAACGTTCTGAGGCGAGTTACGGTGTGTTGCAAGTTTTGTGAGGTGCTTTCGTGATATTTAATGGATCGGATTACATTTTTTATTTTTCTCCGATATCCGATCCAGTAATTTAGGTCAGTATCGGACCGATACCGATACGTAATATGGGATCGGTCCATCTCTAGTTATTACACTCTTAAATCCTGCTACTTATTCCTGCGTCCTTTGTGATCTTACAAAGCTTCAAACGACGCATCGACTATTAAATCAGTCGTCGACGATTTTAATAGTCGACATAATCGTGGCAGCCCTATCGAACACTTAACTGAATAATAAATCTGAAAGACATTTGTACTTTGAGTTTATGGCGTCTCCTCTAATAAAATAAACCCGACAGGCAGCACAGAAAATCCAGGATTAATTCCAGAGTTAGTGAATAATCCCAAATCCTGCGTCATAGTCCCGCCACTGATACGTCATTCGTTTACAGCAGAGCAGGCCGCCTGCACCGTTTCAACCAATCAAACAAACTACACGGCGACACGTCACAGTTTGTTTCTCAGGAAGAGGAGAAAGCTGTGGTCAAGACAGCGAGAGCGAGTTTAGAGATGTGAGCAACACTGAAGGTGTTTGCTGTGTGTAGTGTAGTTGTTTTTTGATCATTAATAAAGAAATCGATAAATGGGGCTGTTCGATATAACGATATATATATGATGACGATATAAAAACGTCTATCGTTTCATTTTACGCTGTCGTTTGTTTCGTGGTGTCGCAAAATAAGCTGTTTACGGCAACATTTTCTCATTATTTTGATGGTCACTGTAGGGGCTGTATTAGTTTCTTAAAGTTTCTCTTTCTCGTATATGTAATATAACCACACTACGGACGGACAAGCGCCTGTTTTTATGCTTTGTCGTTAGCAACAACGACGGTAAAACCATCGCGTGTCCGCTTGTTTATGTTCCACATAAACCTTTCACAATAAAGCTCAAGATCCTGTTGAGACTTTTCAAAATAAACTGAATCATGTGAAAGATGCAGATTATTTACAGATGAGAAGTAAAAAAAGAGCCGCCAGGTGCTAAAAAAATAAACCTTAGACTCAAACGTTAGAACAGGCTTTTCCCCGCAGCACGCCGTGTAACAAATACTCACAAAGAAAACGGCGACTTATGTCAACTTATGTCTAAAGATGTATCGTTTCATGCATCAGTTAAAACACTCGACTCCAGCTACATGGCAGCTGGAAACACTTCACGCAAGTCGAGCTGCCCGAGATTCACAGAATTTACAGAAAATGTTACATTTGTGTGATTTATATCGTTATCGGACGATAGATGTCTTATATCGGGATATGAGGTTTTGGTCATATCGCACAGCTCTATCGATAAATCATTAGGTCTAACACACACACACACACACACACACACACACACACACAGAAAATTAGTACAAGTCTACCAACAACATGCTCCAGAGAAGAAAGTGCAGCAAAGACAGAACAGGACATTTAGGTACTGATGCTTACGGCTGTTTGCACAGCTCCACCCAACAACATCTCCTGAAATGATGATTTTTAGTAAAGAGATAAAAACCATCTTACTTTTTTGAAAAGACGTTTCAACACGTCTAATCACGAGCTCTTCAGCACCTCTAATAACGCCGGCAAGCAGACTGAGACTCAGCAGCACTAAATGCTGATCACAACATCCTGGTCAGACCACACGTAACAAAAAACAATCAGATGTGCGTTACATCAGTTCCACTGACCTTCGCATGCAGGAATAAAAGCACACAAAGTGCTCTGACAGTGTCGGGTTAATGCTTTACAGTTTTTTACAGCCGCTAGGACACACGTCTCAATACTTAGGTCACTTTTGCAAAACTCTTCACACAATTCTCCTAACTGACCCTCAGCTTGGCAAAGCAGCTCATTTCACATTCAAAATGCACTACAACTACCAAAACACTTCATTCAGGTCTCAAATAACCTCATTC